ACATCTCACAGAGCCAGATGTGATACCGAATTCAGAAATTTTCAGACTTTACAGAGGTGGTATTTTATGTATACTGTACGTTGTGCAACACCCCCAGTGGGATCTGGGGCAGCTTTACATGATCAAATGCATTCGTATTTCTGCTGTATGCTCTATGCATAGCCACAGCAAATGGGACAAAAGCTATAAAGAGCTTCACCTCAGTTCAGATTAAGCATTATGCCAGATGAAGAAAGATTTGGTTTCTGGGTTTTTCTTGGATTTCAGGATTGCAGATAAGGGACAGTGAACTTGCACTCCCTGTCCCCTCTCTCTTACCTTGGTGGGTGGGGGTTGGAGCTGACATCTTGAGGAAGAGTCTGCTCTTCCAAGGTGGAAGGAGAGGCATCCAGATGAGTGTGGTCCAAGGCTCCGCCTTGTGACCATTAGGGGCAAGTCCTGAATTTTATTTAACAATTATCAGTATTATAAAAGTGATGCCCTGTCACTTTAAAATAAATCAAACAAAATGAATGCTAAAACATTGTGAGCATCTCCTGTACCCTCCACACAGCCCCACCTGTCTTCCATCAGTCCACTTGGAACCCTTTTAGACATATGTGTAACTGGATGAGGCAGGTACTGAACCCAAGTTTGACTGCTTGCCGCTCGAAAGGTCAGTACTCGAGAGACAAGTGTTGGTGAAAAAAGTTGTTTTATTCAGGAGGCCAGCAACCTGTGAAAATGGTGGACTAATGTCCGAGACCATCTCCTAGTTGTGGGTTAGAGGACAAAGGTTTTAAAAGGGAGTTTCAGGAGTGCACAAGCAGGGGGCTACATGCAGAACAGCACGGTCAGCTCCAATAATCATCTTGAGATGGGTCGTGCAGTGGTCTGGTCAGTGTCATCCTCCTGTTTTTAACGTGTACTCAATTAGTAATTTACTCCAAGGTTGGTCGCTTCCACCTCCTTAAGGTCAGCCCCTGGAATTCTTAAACAAGCAAGATTAATTCTCTCGTAGTTAGACATGGAAGGAATTTTGTACCCGGGAAGGCTCCACAGGGTCCTGCTTGGTTTCAATCCCCCCTTTTCTTTGCTACCCTTCAATCCTGAGGGGAACAGGGGTGGGACAAGAAAGGGAATAAAGTTTTGGATAGGGAGATTAATCATAAACTTGTCAAGGGAACTCAGTTTTTGGGGAACTCGGTAGGAGTTGAGTGCCAGACACAGGATAGCAGTGGTGAGCCAACAAAGACAAGGCCCCAACATCATGGGCTTTACACTAAAGTTTTGGCAGCCCCGAGGCCCTCTCCCATGTATACCCCTGACTCATATCACACAATTGGTGGTAATATGGTGCAGTGTGGAGAAAATCATCTGAAGTCAGATGGCCCAATCCACCACATATAACTGTGACCTTGGGCAAGTAACTTAGCCTCTTGTACCTCAGTTTCCACCTCTGTAAAATGGGGATGATCGTAATAATAGTCACTTTACGACTGTGTGAGAGTTCCATGAGATAACATATATAAAGTTCTTTGCATAGTACCTGGCACAAAGTAAGCACTTGATTGTTGAATACACACGATATGTTTCTCGAGTGCAGGGGCCATATCCTCTTGTTCCCAGTGCCTAGCACATAATAGGGGCTCAGCAAGTACTTACTCAATAAACGATTAGATGAAACTTGGCTTACATTCGGAAATAGGACCATCTAGGTTTTTTTATGTCAACCCAGACAGAACACCTACTATGCGCTGGGAGCCACAAGAGACACTGAGAACCGGTTCTGTCTTTGGGGATTGCTTTATTTAGGAGATGCTCAGCAGAAGAGACGCTAGATATAAATTTTTTGAACGAATGAAGGCATAGATAGATGAATGATTACGAAGCACGCTCCCGGGCACAATAAACATGCCCTGAGTCCCTTACCCTATGCAGACATTTGCGCACACGGCTTTCTGCAGCGTGGGCACTAGAGGGCACTAAGCATGGCGAGTCTCAGATTCAGAGTCACGCCTGGGTCCTTAGGAGAACCTCGCGCGGTGACGTCATATCCTCCCTAGACGTCACGCATCCGGGGGCGGGACAGAGAGGAGCCAAACGTAAACACCCCGGAGTTCGGGCCGTAGGCTTCGGGGAAGCTCCAAGTCCTGGTGGATTCTTGCAGGGAAAAGGAGTCCGGGAGGCGTCAGACCAGTCCGACGGAGAGCGGGTAGGCGGACAGTAGGGCGGCTGTTTTCCGGTGACGTATGGACGCGAGCGCCAGGGGCGCATGCGCAAGGCGGAGGGACGGCGGGCAGCGAGGAGCGGAGGTCCGCTCGGGCCGCGGACGCCAAGGGCTGAAGGCGAGGCTGGGCCGCGAACCTCCCCGGGCCTCTCTACAACGCGGTCTCAGTCGCGGAGGGCAGCTGAGAGGACCGAACGAGTCACGTGTGCAGAGCGCATGCGCCCGGCCCCCAGGTGGGCGCTAAATTAATGGCGGACGTTAGTCTAAACAAGTTGCAAACGACTTAAGTGCCCAACAGTACGGGATCGAGGATTCTGGGGTTTTTTTGTAAATCATTGACTTCGTCCCAAAGTTATATATTAAATGCTTGCTGTATGCGGTGTATTGTTTTAGGTTTTCGGGAAACATCAGAGAACAAGACAGAAAGATGCCTGTTTCTTTTGGAATGTATATTCTAATAGGGCGGAGGAGGGAAGTACGAATAAAGAATAAATGAATTTCACAGTTATGTTAGAGGGAGGTGAATGCTATGGGGAAAAAATAGAGCAGTGGCATGGGGGGATGACATTAGATCTAAATGCCACTGAAATAAATGGAGGAATGAAATTAAGCAAAGCCATGAAGGAGGCAAGGGAATGAGCCGTGTGGCTATCTGGAGGAAGAGTATTTACAGCATGTGGAAAAGTAGGAGGGAGGCCCAGAAGCGGGAGGGAAA